AATAAAATAAAAAAAAATTAAAAAAATAAAAAAATAAAAATAAAACAATAAATATTCCGTCGAACTGATAACCTCCTTTTTTTTTGGAAGTCGGTTAAAAACATTCGGACATAGTTCGTGTTTTCAGAACTTTTGTTAAAATTTCAAAAATTCTGTATACATATATTTCAGTACTGTCAATCTATAAATTTACCAAGCAGGTGTTACGTAACTTAAAGTATAGGCAGCTTATTGAATAGCAAAGATTTTCGCAGAGCTATTATGTGGTTAGCTGATTCACCGTTTACCACATCCGTTATGTTTACGAAAGCTTAATTACCACTACACCTAGGGCAATTTATTGGCAACTACCAGCTGCCGAAAGCCACTTATTTGGCCAATGACCTCTATATGACCTTACACAAGTGCAAAACTGCTGTTGTGCACAGCAATCTCAGAGTGGAAATGCACTGGCATATAATTGTATTGGCGAGTGTGTTGGTACAAATTTGTGTTGACGATAGTATATAATGGTGTGTACTTATTACCCGCGCATGTGTGTACATTAGGGTGGTAAAAAACAAGAGTTTGAATTTTAATGCTCTCACCCCTTAGGATCATTGTTGCCAGAACTTTTTCGACCACCCACCTTATTTGCCAAAAACCAGATAGCTGAATTGTGTCAACTAAAAATCAATTTTTTTATTTGAATAAATCACAAGTAGAAAGACTAGTAAATTCATTAAATTCTGTACTCCGTAAGGAAAATTTCAAGTTTTGAAATAACGCAAATAACACAAAAAACGCCGAAACGCATAAACTTAATTTTGGATCGCAGATTACGGCTAGAACTTTTATTCAAAAATAGCTCTTTAACAGTTTTTTTTTTAATTTTATTTAATTACTCCCTAAATAACAGTTATTTCTGATTTTCATTTTATAAACCAGAATTAACAATTATTTTAAATTGTTATCTAAACAATCTGCAAATAACTGTTATTTTTTATTTTAATTATTTGCCTTAGATAATAGTTATTGAAGACTTTTTTTATAAAAGTCATAAATAAGGATCAGTCAGTGATTTTTACTTCTAACAATCTTAAAAGTCAAAATTTTTGATTCTTATGAAGGCCATAGTAAATTTAAACACATTAGTTATATAAGGGCAAAGGTAAAGGTGAATATGTAGATGAAGAAAGTGATAAACATAAAGGTAAAAACAGAGATAAATGGAAAGAAAAAGATGGGGATGGGGATACCGATAAAAGATGAAGACAGAGGAAGAAAGATTAAAATAAAGGTATTTATAGAGAAAAAATATAGATAGAGTCAGAGAGACTGAGCCTGGGAACTATTTTGGGATTTTAGAGATTTCCGGGATTCTCGGGACTTATCGATATAATAATATTAATAATATTTTTATCAATTTTTTATCGATTTCGTTATCGAAATTTTTATCGATTTTGTTATCGACATTTTTATCGATTTTGTTATCGACATTTTTATCGATTTTGTTATCGGTATTTTTTGACGATATTTTTATTGATTTTGTTATCGATCTTTGTATCTATATTTTTAATGACATTTTTATCGATTTTGTTATCGAAATTTTTATAAATTTCGTTATCGATATTCTCATCGATTTTGTTATCTACTATTTATCAATTTCGTTATAGATATTTTTTATCCAGTTTGTTGTCGGTACTTTTATCGATTTCGTTATCGATATTTTTACAGATTTTCTAGTAGATTTTTGTGATCGATTTTGTTATCGATATTTTTATCGCTTTTGTTATCGATATTTTCGTCGATAATTTTTTTCCATTTTGGTATCGATATTTTTATCGAACTTATAATCGATTTTCCTACCAATAACATTATCGATTTTGCTATTGGAATTTTTATCGACTTTGTTGTCGATATATTTATCGGTTTTGTTATCGATATTTTGTTGTATTGCACAATATTGTATAATAATAATAATAATAAATATTGTATAACTACGTTTTTTATTTTTCTCTCTGACGTCAAGATTTTTTTTAAAGGGCTTTGAAATTTCCAGGATATGATTGAATAAAGAAATTATTTAAGAGATTTGGTGCATTGTAGAGTAACAATATGGGTATCAGTTAAAAGGAAAAGTGCTGTAGAATTAAAAATATCCTTGTATATTATTGTATCCTTTAATATNTTGACAAAGAAATTACTAACCGATTTTTAAGAATTTGGTATCGTTGTAAAGGCGATTGAACCCCCTTTCTTCTGGTTGGCATATTTGTATACTTCATGTATAAACATTTGAAAGCAAAAATTTTATTTTTTTATAAAGAAAAATACTTTAAACAAAAAAATTACTAACCGATTTTTTTTTAAATTTGTATCGTTGTAGAGGCTACCAGAAAACTTATACTTTCTTAAACTCAAAAATTTCTTTTTATATACACAAAAAAAAATATAATTAAAAACATTTATTCCCTCTAAATAAACTCTTGCCCCCTTGATGAAAGGCTGGCTACGCCCTTGTATACAAAACAATTAAAGTATTAAACCATAGTTATATCATACGGTCAGTTTGTTCTTTTAGAGTGCATACATGGTTCCATAATAATGATTCCAGTATCTTCATTTGTGTATATTGCAACTATCAATATCTTATAAAGAGAAGTGCAATTTTTTTTATCTAAACCTAACAAAGTTAGGAGGACGGAATTCGAAGATGTGGTAGTTAACGTATTAGTCATTGACATATATTTTTTTTTTAAATAAATATTGGAAATTTCCAAGGATATTCAAGGATAAAATTTTGAAAGGACATTTCAATACTTATTCGTCCTGGTGCACCCAAAAATTAATTTATTTTGTATTCTACAGAATTTTTCCTTTTAATTTATACCCATATTGTTATTCTACAATGCCCCGCATCTTTTGAATAATTTTTTTATTCAATCATATTCTAGAAGTTTCAAAGTCCTTAAAAAAAAAATCCTGACGTCAGAGAAAAAAATTAAAAACGCAGTTTTACTATATTTGGCACTCTGTTTTGTGAATATATTGATTTTTTTCGTGTGTAAAATTGACTGTCGCACGGTGATATCAATTGATTTCAGAACAAGGGTTACACTTTCGTTTGTCGCCTACTGCATATCGATGGGATATTTTCAAACACCATAACGATGGCTGAGTGGAAGATCGACCTACCTCGTCAGCCAGTTCGAAAACGCTCTATCTCAAAAAACTTTTCGAAAACGCCCTATCTTACTTCAAAATGTATTGCAAATATGCTGATATAGGGCGTTTTTGAATCGGCAGCTGAGATAGGGCGTTTTTGACACGAATTCTGAAATAGGGCGTTCTTGAAAAGTTTTTTGAGATAGAGCGTTTTCGAACTGGCTGCCGAGATAGGTCGATCTTGCACTCAGCCATCGATATGGTGTTTACAAATATGCCGTTTTCCTTACCCTAAACCTTTTACTGTGCGCTACAGCGATGTTTTGTAATTAAGGCAGATTCGAATAGGCGCTCTCTGGGAAGGCAATATCTGTAATATTTGCCCCATGTGTTGGTACTATACCCAACACAAATGCGTGTTTAGCAAACTGTGAAACCATTCGTTATTTCACACTGAAATTTAAGAAATGCATAACAAAAACTCTATGAACAAAATCCCAGACACGTCCTTTCTTGGAAAAATTATATTCGCTTAAAATAAAAATCATTGATAATGGTAACTTATACATATAACAAAATCGGAAAATCTAAAAAATCCTGAAAGTTTACAAAATAATAAATTTTGATTTTGATTTCTTGACATTGTATTGGAATTTAGGGGGAATATTTGAATGGTTACCGCGTATAACCTTGTAAGCGACAAAATTTTATAATCTTCCAAGAGTAGAACAAAAACACGATTTTAATGATTTATGTGCGTTATTTTTCTACTTTTTGGTACTTCAGTAAACTTATCTATGAAAAATAAAATATGTACATTGACATCTTTAAAATTGAAGAAACCAGTTTCCACCATTCATTTGTAGAAGTGGAAAGCCATATCTCTCACACAATTTCTCTGGCTAAACTTTTCTTAATTTAATGGATATCAGCTTAACTTAAATCGCCATATGTATTGGCATAAGAATGTAGTTAAATACATACCGATTCGCTATTGTAAGCGCACCATATATTGGCACTTTTATTTTGATGTTATTTAATTTTAGAAATTTTTATAAAAATATAGTTTATTCTCTTCAAAAAACCGCATAAATCTAGGTTTCAGACTTTGTACAATATTAAAAAAAAACATCAACAAACTTTCGTAAAAATTTCGAGTTTTTCAATTAGTATTTAATGGTCTAAAAATAAAAATACTTCTAAGAAATCTAATTAAAAAGCAAAACTAAAAAATTAATTTTTAAAACTAGTCAATATTTGGTGGGCTTATGATTTTGACACGTGGTGTATATACATATGTATGTGTACATATGCTAACGCTCACAAGCATACACACACATATTTGTAATAATTTTTTCGAATGCTTTCAGTTAAATAGTGATTATTCGAAATTTATTGTTATGAATATTAATGTCTGACGCCTTCGGGCAAAACGGAAATAAGAATAAATTCCATGGTCATTACTCCATACAAAATGAAATAATTTCCGTTCAGCTCCATAAGTACATATTGAAATAAGCTTGTGCATTTAAGCAACAATGTACAAAATAGCAACAACACATACCGGAAATTGAACGAAAAGCCATTATTCAGCATCGTTCAACCAAAATGGCGTTCACCACAATTCAGACAAATTTTTAAGCAATTATTATGAAGCAACATACATGCATATTTACCAACATTTTGGTATACTGGCAACACATATGAGCACCCATATACATAAACATAACACCACACTAATACTTATGAATCAAAAAAATAGTAACTGGTCGTATAAAGGTCAGTGAATGCTAAATTGAGTAATATTTATAAATAGATATTGAATCTACAAATATTTACGAGTAGATATTTACCTCCTAACTGCAGCTCCGCCGTCGCCTGAAAGGTGTCGCCCTCCGGCCGCCGCACCACACATTGATACATGCCACGATTTTCCCGACTCACACGCGTCACCATCAAAGTGTCTTCTATGCGACCCGATGATGGCAGTTGTCGTCCATCCTTGTACCACAGTATATTTTGCATGCCCACCGGACTGCCATTACTCGTGACAATGCAACGAAATTCGGCATTACCGCCCATATGTACGCTCAGTATGTTCGGTGAGATCTCCACTTGTATGGGTGTGGCCACTGTGAGGCGCAATTCGGCGCTCGCTTCACCGCCCACATTGCTGGCAGTACATTTGTAGACACCTGAATCTTCGCTAGTTACCGCCTCGATGGCGAGTATTGGACCGAGTAGACGCACGCGTGGTCCGCTAAGCACGGGCAATGGGCCGGGACCGTTGTGCGTGTACCAGCTGGAAGTAGAAAAAGAGAGAAATGAAATGTTTATAAATTATTACAGAGTCCATGCATTTGCTTCTATTTATCAATAAGCCGCTTATCTTGTGAATTTAATGGGCATAAAATGTGTTAATTAATTTGGTATAATGCAAAATGCGAAAGAATTTCTACGATTTTATGCTATATGAAATACAAGTTATTTATGTAAGTATCGTTTGCATTTTTCCTACAATACGCAATTCCATTAAGTGCTGGCAAATTTTCATTCGTGCAGCACTTCATTTTTAATTGAAAATTGTGTGTTTACGTATATACACGCATGCACTTTTATTTGCTTGGGTAAAAACCAGTGCAATACGTCGTATTTGTATTTATTATAATTTCTTTTAATGTGTGCTACCAGTACTTTTTGCACCTTTCTGAAACAGGTACATATTCTGTGGATACTGTTGACTTTTTATTGACGATACGATTGGTGGGCTGTTTCACACAAATAATAGGAAAATGGTTACTTGAAATAATTTGAAATTTTTCTTACGCAAACAGTTATAGAAGTTATGCTCAAACTACCTGGAAATAATTTTTATAAGTATTTCATACAAGGTCATACTAAAAATATTGTTCGAAGCATTAAAGCCCACAGATATATTAAATTAGTAAATAAAGACATTGGACTTCGCGCATAAAAGCGAACTTAAGTTCCGACTCGATTTGCAGTACAAATTCTTGAGCTTAAACTCACTCTATCAGTGCAAAAGTTGAGTCTGAGCTTCAGCTAATTTTTGAGCATGAGGCCCAGTATCTGCTAAAGACCCAAAAAATGCTATTTTTCAATGAATCTGCATTTAAGCTGTAGAGCTGTTTCTAATTTCAATAAATATTTTGTTGCTTACAATTTATCTGTTGCTTTGTCGAGCTTCTCCGCCAATTACGCAAATTAGGATTGAGAGCAGACTTTTCATGACAGAAAACCCCTCGAAGGTTTGTCATTGTCTACCGAGGGGACACTGCTGTTAAAACAAATTCTCGAAACAAGATCCGAACCCAGGTCGTACTGCTTGTTGCAGTGGGCTGAGACTGCTAAACCTGAGCGCCATGGAAAATGGAGAAATCCGAGTCGTAAATGGTAGCATTGTCTTACTGAAGAGAACGATCTTAAGTTTAGCATACTCTTGATGATGGGAGTACTGAAGCTGATTTGGCACTTGGAATTGACGTGGAGTCTCTGAGCAACTACTTAATCTTAAAGGGGGCTAAGTAATCTCACTGGATACCTGTAGTGGTACTCTCTGAGGATTGCCATCGGAAACCCCTAGTGCATGCACTGCTATTGTGGTTCATTGAAAGGATATTGCCTCCAACCAGAACATGAAACATAGCGCTAGTATTACCTAATTGTTATGGTGACTTTTAACACCTTGCACCTAATGTATTCTACACCCGCGATAAGCCGGCGCCGAAGGGACACCAATGCATGGCTTTCAACCACACAGGGTTACCATTGCACATAGTGCCTACACACCTGCTAATTTCCTAAGTTGAACAAGTATTAGCAAGTTTAAGTATATTGACTAGTTTTCTGTTTATTTAGATTTCAATATTATTTTCTCTGAAAGGATTTATTTTTTTCATCTAAACAAATACATCTAAAGATTTGTTATATTTTTTTAGTTAGATATTCTAAAATTCCATTAGAATTTTTCTTTATTTTATATATATTCTTTCTCACCTATAAATATTTTTCATTCTTCGTCTATATATTTTTCATGGAAATAGTTTTTATGAGTCAAATTTTTCTGTATGTTTGTAAAATTGAAGTGATTTTTTGCTTATATGTGCTTTCTTTCCAAACAAAATTGTCATCCTTGGGTGTACCAGATAATCTTCCCTCTTTCTTTCCATTTTGATCTATCGGTGTCCTCTGGGTTCAGAACTGCTGACAGTTGCTATTTCAACTTTTACGTTCCCATAACTATGTTTAATGATTATGGTTATAAAGTAAATCTTGTTTACAGTACAAATATATTGTTGATTTCATGAACTTTAAAGACCACTGCCTATCGTATTAGAGGGTCTTTAGATCAACCTCAACACTTATTCATTTAACAGATTGTTACAGCCCAGAAAGAGCCACAACGTGAATCGCAAATAAAAGATTTTTTCTTGCTTTAAGTCTTAAGAATTATTTGGCACCTTAACTCACCCTGTATATCCACGCGTGTATACAAATTTATCATCATATCATATTATTTTTCGCCTTCATACATCTTTCATTTTACCATTTTTCATTTTAAACTTTTTTAAGGTTTTAATGGTAATGTAGTCATGTGCGAAAAAGGTTGTCAGTATTCATCAATCAAGAAATATTAATTTCGCTACCGGTGTGTATTAACAAACAACACGCCTCTGAATCTACATGTACATGTAAGCACACATATGTACATATATTCATATACATATACATACATACATAAGGAAAATATTTCAGACACTGCAGAGGTGGCAATGCGCTTATTAGGCGCCAATTTCTGTTAAGCTCCCCACATATGCAAATGTTTATCTATGTATATAGCGTTGCGATCAAAAATGGATGAATGGTGTTTCATTTTTAATATTTACAATGTGTTTCAAGCTAAAATTGTTTTGATTTTTTATTTTTTTTTAAATATGGTTCACGCTTTAACAAAAACCATATAAATTCCAACTTTATACAGAATTTAGAAAAATTCTGTAATTTTTATCCTAATTTCGAGCTTTTTAACCTAAAATAAAATTAGTGCAAAATTTGAGCGGCTAAAAAATCGCATTGATTTTTAATATTTTTTTTTGCTGAGGCTTTTTAGGGTTTTTTTTCACATAAACAGCAAAATTTAGGAAAACTGGCGTTGGCTTTTTTATTTTTTTGCAAAAGGTCGTGCGCATATTCTTCCACGAAAAATACATATTTATATGGGAAGAAGATCAAAACGCCTTCAACAAAAAAATTATTAAAAATCATTGCGATTTTTTAGCCCCTCCAAACTTGCACTAGTTTTACTAAAATTTTATAATCCTATTAACTGCCTACCCAAAAATTTTTTTATAATTCTAGTTGAAAAGCTCGAAATTTAGATTCAAGTTTGTGGATTTTTTCTAAATTCCGTATAAAGTTTGAAAGTGTGATTTATACAATTTTGCAAAGCATGAACCATATTTTTATAAAAAAAATATCAAAAAATTACAGCTTGAAAAACATTGTACATATTAAATACGAAACACCATTCATCCACTTTTGATCGCCACTGTACTTATTTGCAATGTTTATTAACACTTACGTTTATATGTATGTATGTAATAATGCACGTTTTTGTACATACATATATGGCCTGCCTTTAATATCTCCATTCTGCTTTATGAAGTGTGTGAAAACTTTGAAATTTAAAATGCCTTAAGATTCAGAACTTTGCACTATAAAATCGGTTTGTTTTTGTCCCTTCACTAAATCAATTCTCCATAGTAAAAGTGTATACACATATATATAGCAAAAATGTGGTCTACCATTTTAAACTTTAATTACTTAGCTCCGAATCCGATTACGCCACATTGCGTCCACCGTTTTGAATTTCAAAAATCTGATGTTAGATTTGAAATCAGCGACGTCGAAAACCCTCCTATTTATATGAGTTTTAGGGGAAAAGAAAAATTTTTAAATCTCGGCGTCATATTTGATCCAGCGCCATTTTGAATATCAAAAAACTTGACATCATATACGAAATCAGCGACCTCAAAAATCCTAAAAAACTAAGTTTCAAATCAATTTGGTTACTGTTCGACTTTCGACCGGCAAATGGAAGTCGCCAGACCATAATGCTTTGACTTGATGGCACAGCTTAACACATATCTATGTATGTATGTAAACATAGAAATAGTTCAAAAAGCGGCTTTCTCACAGAAAATTATTAATGAATCGATGTCACAGGATCAATATGAATTTAAAAAATGTATCTAAATAACCATATCGTGTAACAGATTGATGTGCAAATGTTAAATTTTATAGCGTAACGTGAAAGCTCATATAATGCGTGCGGGGCTGCGGAAAATTCTAATGATATGTATAATTTATTTTTCATTTTGTTATACCCGAGCGCACTTGTGCACAAGGGTATTATAACTTTGTTCACAACAAACGAATACAAGACAATAACCACGCCCACATCCCATATAACGGTAATTTGGAGAAATACGAAATCTTCGATAAATCAGTAAATATTAAAGCTAATTTATTCAAAATTGNACCAAGAAATACGTTTATGATAAAATTTTGGAAAATGGGCGTGGCCCCGCACACTTGTGATCACATATATGTATCTCGGTAACCGTTCCACCAATTTGTAC